GAATGAAGAAGAAGAAAAAAGGAAAAAGGAAGAAAAAAAATGGAGAGAGCTATTCAACAGTGAGGAATATTCCCAAAATACAGTACTCAGCTACGACAAATCCTTTGTTTGACAATAATGGAATGGGATATAAATTTGCAAAAAAAAAGTTCGCTAACCAAGTGAGAGGTTTTTTTTTGTTTTTTTTTGGTTAACCATAGACTCAAATCAGTAACGATATCAACTTGGATGTATTTAAATTATTCCTTAACTAAAAGTAATTTAGTTTTACAAAAAAAAAATCGGTGGGAACAAAAAGAGGAAAAAAAAAAACTTAGTAAGAAACCAACCTGCGTAACATGACGTTTTTGGGCGGACGCAAACACCGAAAATATGCTCAGTGCCAATGTTTTACATAAAAATTTTTCAAAAATGTCTTTGCCTTTATGACCTGATTTTTTTTTATTTTTTTTCCGTCTTCTTCGTAGTTGTAGTCGTAGTTATCGTCGTTCCACGTCTTCGTCTTCTTCTTCTGCTTCTTCTTCTTCTTCTTCTTCTTCTACTTCTTCTTCTGTTCTACTCTTTCTTTTCTTCTTCTTCTTCTTCTTCTTCTTCTTCTTCTTCTTCTTCTCGTTCTTCTCCTTCTCCTTCACCTTCTTCTAACTTCCTCTGAAACAATGACCTCTTCATCAAAATTGACAAAACTGCTGTCGTTGGTTACTCAAAACCACAAAAAAATACTTAAAGATATGTCAATTTGTTTGTTAATTTTTTTTTTCGCTTCTTTTCTTTTTTTTTTTTTTCTTTTCTCATTTTAATTTTATCACATTTGAGAAGTGCTTAACTGCCTGGTTATGGTTTTATCATATTTCTGTTTTGGAAAAGAGAACAAAAGCAAATATACAAAAAAAAAAAGTGTTACAGAATTTTTAAATTTGAAAAAAAATTTTTTTTGTCAACTAACAATAGTTTGATTCTTGACGGTTACAAAACAGTAAGATGGTCTTCAAATACAGTCAAGAGGTGGAAAGTTAAGTGGGAAAAAGTGTAAGTGTTTAAAGTTGCAAATAAAACGGTAAAAGTCGGTAGAAAAAACTTGTTTTTTTGTTTTTATTTTCTACATTTTTATGCATGTTTCAAAATTTATTGAACACTCCCAACATACAATCTTTCGTTCAGCAACAACCCAATTTGTAATCATATAAATGATAAGCGATAACGTAAATGTTGCAGTTATGTATGGTTAAAATTTTAGAGATTTTTTTTTTGTTTTCTAGTTGATTTAACAAAAAACATAACCAAAATGATAAACATCAATATATCATTCAAAAAACAAGTAAGAAAATTTTGTTAAATATTAATGAATATATTTTTGTGTATAGGCTAATTCTAACATATCTCCAGCAAAACAACACTGTATTTCCTTTTATTCCAAATTACAACATTATATAACACCAAACAACTGTTGACATATCTTTTATGTAGTTAAAAAATTTTCAATCATTTTTCTGAGTATGCGTTAACTAAGTCTCAGGTGTTACACCTATCATAAACTGTATGCAAAACTGAATGTTAGAATAACAAAAAAAAGAAAAAGGACAAATATAGTACTTCGGCATCTGTAAAACAGTAGTGTCACCGTTCAAAAAATATTTTTTTTACTAATTCCAAAAGCAGTTTTAAAAGCGAAAAAAAACTATCATCAACATGTACACACCTATATACCAGCACACACCAACACATCAACAGACATACTAACCGACACATACCGATACACCGACACAGACACGGACACAGACCAACACAGACACCGACATACACCCATTTGTATAACATAAAATTGGTGACACTGATGAACCCTTTTGATGCTGCTGTAAATTTCGTTAATTCATTTTTTTTTTGTCTCATTCTTCGTCTTCTTCTATCTTCCTCGGTTACCCCGTAGCACTCTTGCATTCCCGGTGTTCGTTTGCTCAATAATTTAGTTTTTAAGGCGTTTCAATATTGGTACAAAAGGAAATAGAATGGCAAAAAAAAAAAAAACTATAAAAAATTTATCACTTTAAATGAACTTTTGCCGGTGTTGATGTGGTTTTTCTGTGCCTTCATTCCCCCTCTCCCTTCCTAGAACCATGGATAATCCAACTGATCACCTAAATTCAACAGTTTTTTAAAATCAGCACAATTAAAAAACTATATATAACTTTTACAAAAACTGCAAAACAAAGAAACAAAAGTGACTGGCAAAGAAGTAAAAAAAAATGACTGTATATTTGAAATCCGTTACTACTTTTATAGTTTGTTCTTTTCATTAAACAAGCATCTATCCGGAGGTTGAGTGAAACAGAAACTGATTTGGCTTCAGTTCTTTTTTTGGTTGTTGATCATTACTAGTGACGGTTATTGTTCGCCAAAGAATACTTTGAATAGTAAGTTCCTCTGTTTCAACACTTTTCTTTCCCCTTTATTGTAAAATGCAATTTTTTTTTTTTTGCACATAAACATAAAAACAACAAAAATAAAAGAAGAAAAAAAGTTGAAAAAAAAGGACTACAGAAATCCAGAAAATTTTTTTGCTTGAGAACAGAGAATATATCATACTTTCTCTTTTCACTTACATCTTCTTTTAAGTTTTCTTGATAAACCTTTCGAGTACTGAAAAAAAGCAAAATATAGTAGACAAAAAAAACAAAAGATTTTCGAATTTTAAATCCAATTGTCTTGGTGTTTGAAAAAAAAAGTTTTTTTTCTTTTTTTTTCTGCTTTATAAAGAAAGTGTAAGAAAAAAAACGCGAAGGATGGATAATGACATAAATTCGTTTCAAATTTTTTCCTTTTTCTCTCTTATCGTCATCATTACCTTACTTTTTTTT